TGCTGCGCCCGCAGGGGTTGCACTGGAGGGTGGGGGCCGGTGGGTTCCGAACCGGCGGCGCGCAGTCCGTGTCCGCCCTAGAGGTTACGGACACTGAGCTGAAGGGAGGGGAGAGGGCAGACAACCCCGCTCCTGGCTCTCAAGAAGAATCTTCCCTCGCTGTATGTTTGCTGAGCGTAAGCCCTTAAAATTTGGCTACTCTCGCGTTTGTTTATAGTTTCTTATTGTTTGGGCTTTTTTATTGTTTTAAAGGAAGATCTTACCTCTGTGGCTTACGGGCAGTTTCACTAGTACAATACTGCAATGTTTCAGTCGTCAGCCACTGCAGGGGAGGGTTTAAATCCAAACAAAAACCTGCTTTCATTTAAAAAAGAAAAACAAAATAGGTTAACGTTTTTGCATGATCTTTTAAAACGTCTTAACAGCTTTAGTGTTTAAAATATACTGTCCTTTTGTACAAGGTCAGAATCGGTAAAATAGATCTAAAAATTGAAGCCTGCCCAGGCTTCTGGTCCTCTGCATTTGGCATTAGTTTATGATTGAGATAGCTGCCACTCTTACATATTTGTGGTGGCTAGAGAACCTTATTTTCATTCTTTTTTTTCCCTAAGAAGAAATCCTATTTATTAAGTATTGTGAAGGAAATTCTCGTTGTCTCTGAGAAGCCTTTAAATAAATCCTTTATTTTGAAAGACGTTTCTCAGGGTAATTGTGTTTTTGAAACGTTGTTATGTTGTCTTTAGGTAGTCCCTATATTTGTGTTGGAACATGAGGTAAAATAAGTCTCATGAGGTAGAAAGAGTGAGCAGGTCTTTTTTTGTTGTTTGTTTTTGTTAAACATGTAAAATCCCTAGGAAAGGATGCAAGTCAGACCTGCTTTGCAGAAGGTATCTGGAAGCACAAGAAGGTTTCACTAACATCATCTTGTGTTGGACAGGACTGCCTCTGATAAAGGCAAAATGGCTTTCAGTAAAGGATACCGTGTCTATCACAAGCTGGATCCACTTCCATTCAGTGTGATAGTGGAAACCAGAAACAGAGAAGAATGTCTCATGTTTGAATCCGGAGCTGTGGCTGTCCTCTGTAAGTCGATATGTTTTGATACCTACAATGTAAAAAGTTGGCAGACTTGACATTGTGTAAGCTGCTTCTTTATGGAATATAAAGAAGCAACTATTCTGTTTTCTTATTTGCTAATGGAGAGGCTTCTGATTTAAACGAGGGGGGAAAAAAAAAAAGACATTTTCATGTCTTCATCTGTTGAGAGAGAATTTTACCGATTTAATTACATTTCATCATGCATGTGTATTTTCATGTATACTAAATTTTCTTCTTCTAATAGCTTCCAACAACACCAGCTTATTTCTTTGGTTCTGAACAACCTTCTCCTTTTGAATACATGATAAGTCATTGACAAGCTACTTCTCTATGTTGTATTTCATAATAAAAAAATTCTGTATTCTTAAATGGTATATCATCTTAATTTGTTTTTTATCTCATTTTGTATCATGATTTTTGATGGCTTTTTGATTTTTAGATTTATTTTGTCCCTGTATTTTTAACCTATCTTGAGACTCTGTATTGATTTGACTTGTAATAAAATGAGTAATATTTGGAGCAAGGTGTCTTGCATTGCAAAGTTATTTTTACATGTTTTTAGTGATAAATGAATTAAATGTTTCCCTTAAATTCTTTTTGGCTCCCCGGCCCCCTTTTTTTTTAAGTCATAGGGCACTAAAATGAGAAGCACAGAAGAGATCCGTGAAGCCTATAGATAGGGTTCTAAAATGTAGTTTGGTTTGTATTCTTCAGAAAGACTGAGCAGCTGGTTGCACAGGGTTTCTAAGCTTGTTTTTGACTCTTACAGAAAGCTTTCATACTCTGGAAGTTGTTTGTGTTTTTTTTTTTAAATCAGTAACTTTTTGATTAATTAGCTCTGATGCCTGTTTGTGGTTTTCTAGCCTAGCTATTCTGAGCACCCAATCAGAAAATGGGAGATTTGATTCACTGCCTGAAGTCTGGGTGGACTCAAAAACCTACCTTTCAGGAGGATGCTCTGGCTCTGAGACTGTGAAGTAGGCTGAATGGAGAGTGTGTTCTCTAACAAATCTCAGAGTTAGAAATGTGATTTCCAAAGAGTGGGACTTGAGATACATTTCCTTTTTTCGGTAATTGCAATTGGCTCTTCTATAAGTGAGCGTGCTCCTTGGCAGTGGCATGGTCTCTTTCAGAGCCACCTGGCTGTCCCTGTGTCCTCTGTAAGGTACTTAGAAGTTGGGCCATAGAGTCATCTGTACTGGACAGGCTGTATGAAAAAGTGGTCTCTAGCATACAGCTTAATCTGCATCTTTAACATGCGATTAGAACAAGCTGCCGTTAACTGTTAGAGGCCTAGAAATGGGACATGCCAGCATGATTGACTTTATAGCTGCAATTGTATAATGGTCCAGGTGAAAATCAATGAGTGCTTTTCTCCTATTTTTGAGAATCTTTTTTTTTTTTTTCTGATAGTTTCTTCTTATTATGTATTTAAGTAATCTCATTGACTTCGCCAGCAGTATTTGAAAGGCATTGTGTAGTGTGGATTGGGTTGGGAATAAGTGTCTGGTCATAACACTAGTGAACAGGTTTAGTGAAATCTGTAAAATGCGGAAAAATGCTTTGAAGATTTGTGGAAAACTTTATTTTAGCATGTATTTAGTAGTTACTGAATATGCTTAAGCTACTTAAGGAGCAATGTATTAAAAATAATTTATTCCTGAAAGTTATGCTCAAAAAGGACAGTAAGTTAGTCGCTTTTTGTGCTGTGATACACTGCAGGCACCTGGATAAACTTTCTTCTCTAAAAATTAAAAACCATATCAAAGTTCCTGCCCTCTTCTATGCCTCACGTTGTTACCAAACAGAGAAAGTGGAACCCGAAGGAAGTTTGAAAGCCTCTCTCTTTTTGGGTTCTATACTTAGTAATAGCATGTTATTAATCTGTAAAGGTTTGTTCTTGGTATGCTAATTGGTAGGTTATTATATAGTAAACATTCATACTTAGCTAGAAGTAGTTACTCTGGATATTGTTTTCAGTAACCTTAACCAGTAAACTGCTTACTGTTTTTCTGTCTGGTAAATGGGCATATTTTCCCGATGCACATTTAGCTGCGGCACTTTGCTTTAATTCCCATTTTGCACCTAAACTCTTTAGGTACTGAAACATGATTCTTTTGTTAATGGTTGAAAGATCACGATCATACCCTTGAACTGACGGCAGAAAAAGCGCTAGCATTTTCTAGCTCAGTGTTGTTTTTTTTTTTCTCTTTTTTTGCTTGCTGTTCGCTTCTGGTATCTATTCTTTTTAATACATATTTAAAGGAGTACAATTATTAACACTTGGGAAAGATTTGTGAAGTACTACTTCTCCATCTCTCTAGTCATGCCACAGAAACTGGTCAGAAGATTCTAGCCTGGAGCCTTACAAATTTCTGGATATTGGTACAAATCTAAAAGCCAAAGTTAATGAAAGACTGGCCCTTGGGGAAGATTGCCCAGGTGTTTGTAAAATCTGTGTGAATAGATAGAAAAATGGTCAGATCAAGTATATATCAATTTAAATCCAGAAGGGCATCACTTTAAAAACTCATATTTTTTGCTGATGGTGCTAACACTTTTTAACTCTACCAAAATTGACAATACCTATCTCAAAGTGTTAGGCATTTTTCAAAAGATTTTAATAAATACTGAAGATAAAATAAGGCCTTATACCCGATCATAGTTCTTACCTGTATGTAGAATGTATAATATAGGCATATTATAATAACCTAGTGAAATACACTTTACCATTAAAAGTGATTCACGTGGTTCAGTTCTGAGAGCCTTAGTGAACTGCATCTTCTGGGGTGTCCATGTATAGAAATTTGGATTTGAAATGGGCTAAAAGAAAGGAATGAAAGCTTACTGATCCTTTAAATGTCATCTTAAAGGAAGTACCTCTGTCATTTTGCTGAGGGAAGGATAATGGTATTAACCTTCATCCCCTTTACATTCAATGAAGCATTGCAAGATGATTCAGAGGGTTTAGTTAGGCCTCTGTATGAAATGCTATACAACTCATATGCTGCGTGATTTTCAGTGTGTGTTTTATGCGCACTGAGTCTGTTATTTAAGTCAACAAAACAAGATGGAAGAAAGGAAGAGGGTCGAAGGGATAGTTCACAGAGGTGGTTGTTGCATAATCATTCAGTCTTAACGTGGAAGCAGCCCAAGCCACACTTCTGCTGGAAGTGTTCTATGTACAGCTTGTAACGTGGATTAGCTAACGTTACTGTGACCTCTTTTATTGGCTCACTTCTAGTATTGGGTTAGCCCAAGGTATTGAAGTCCAAGGGGATCCTGCCAACTTGCTTCTCAAGGCTTTGTAAGAGCACTTAGGTTTAAACGTCAGCAGCTTCACTGCTGATTTGTTTAGAATTTAGTGGGAGGATGTCATAGGTCTATTTTTTCTTATTTGACATATAAAATAGACAGTATGTTTATTCTTTGAAATAGGACTCTCTAATGAGATATCTCACCTGTAAAGATTCATTGACTGAGCAAGAGGATGTTCTCTCTCCCTGTTCTTCTGTGGTGAGTCATAACGAAATGAGTGGGAAGGTGTCTACTCCTGTCGCCTGTGATGAGTAAAGGAGAATGTTCTGTCGTCTGGGAAAGCACTGAGCCCTGAGTGGAGAGAGCAGGAGCTTCGTGCACATCCTTTGACTTCAATCTTACAGTAAAGCTGAGAAGAGAACAGGTGTGAACAGTAAGAGACACTATGCCCACCCTGACCTTTCTGTAGAGCTAGATAAAGTAAGAGCTGTAATAACCTGTGTGCAGGAGGCATCCTGGTATTCATAGTCATGTTTAGCAATGCTACTCTATCACCCATTCATACTCCACTTCTTTTTAAAAAGAAAATTCTTCCACACTGCATTCTTGAGGGGTGGGGAGGTGTGAGGAAGCAGATATGCTATTATCTGTCCACAGTAGCAGATAGGATATAATAATTTTGCAAGAGATTTTAAGTTGATATGGTACTTGAGGAAACTTAGACACCCAGAAAAAAACATACTGACAGATACATTTGATGAGCACCTGCTATATGTACATAATTATTAAGGAGAGTGACATTCTGTATGCTCACAACCAGAATTGTTTTTTTTGGTGTTTGCTGCCACCAGTAATAAACTGCCACTATGTTATTCTACCCACCCCCCGATAATGTTTATACAGAGTTTTGAGTGGAATCTTATCCCCTTAACTAGGGAACGAGAATATTTCAAAATAAATTACTACATTCTGTTTTTCATTATGGGATCCTATAGAATAAGCTTAATACAGTTATTTTCCTGGTTTATATACATATGTAAAGGTACAATAACAAAAAGAATTAAATTTTTCAAGCAGTAATTTATCTTCTTTAGTGTGTCTTTATGTTAGAGTGTCTTTATGTTAGAGAGGAAAGGTCAAATACAGGCTGTGGTAAAACAATTTTTTTGATGTAATATTATATTCATCTGAAGACAACTTGAAGGGACCAATGTGAAGGGACTAGGATGCAAAGGCAAACAGCAATTTCACCTTCCTGTCTTTATTACTGTTTTGACTAAGTGTCATCTTCTGGACTACGCCTTCCCATTAAACAGTATCTTAAAACACTTAAGAAGCTGCAGGGAAGCAACAGCTACAGTGGGTGCCAAGGGCAGCCGTACTGGTGGAGGAGCCTGTAACCTGTCCTCCTGTCATCAGGTGCCTTTCCTAGGATTCTGCCAGAATTCACTGTCCTTTCAAATCTACGGGGAAGATGTTCCACTCGTTGCTTTCCAGGCATTTCCAACAAAATCACATGGTTTAACAAAGACAATGTATGCTAGCCTAGCACAGTTTGAAAAGTACAAGAAGTACAGTAAGAATCTTCCTAGGAGGTTGGTGAAGGCAGTAACTCTTGCTTGGGAGGACTATGATCTCTTTGAATGGCATAATGGATCTGCAATAATTTGGTCCACAGTTCTGGAAACATTAAAAAGAAGTTACTTACAACAGAATCTGAAAACTTT